CTTCGCTGGTTGGTTGTTTGGTTGTTAGCTTGGTTGCTTCGTTGCCTTTTTCTCTGTGATCGCTTTGGCGTTTTAGTTGATTCTCCTCAACATCAACTACCGACAGACAGTCACCTCGATCTGGCCGTAATTACATTATAGATATTTCCATGTTGTGATTACCGTTGTCTGTCTGTCGAACGAACAACGAACAACAACAACTCTTATGGCATTTTGTCAAACGAACAAATTTCATAATCGGAAGTGTTAGGTGGGCTGAAGTGTATTTTGCGGCGGGCTCCCATTATCCGGGCACTTTTAATGAGCCGCAATTATTGAAATTTCTCGAATGCAACGGCCCATGGGTTGGGGTGTCTCAGTCTCGGGAGAGAGGTGTCTATGTCTGTGTCTGTGGGTATTTCCTTATAAAAACTTTTGATGAGATTTTTTCGTTTTTGGAATCGGTAGAAGATTGTGTGTGATTAGAGGGCGATTGGTTGGGTTTTTTTCCATGGGAATATTGTATTTGTCAAAGGGGATCTCGTATCTTCAGTCGCTGAATAGGTTATAGAACTTTGCTATATATTACTGTTCCTAAGTAGGGGTTATACCGATTTAGGATTATCCGGCTCGAAGGACCATTTGTTGGGGTAATTGTATAAACAAAATAATTATCAAATTTTTAACCCCGCTCTCTAGTTATATATATTTTTTTCAATTTTAGCCATTAATTTTCCAATTGCATAGATGATTGTTGCGCAACCGCTGTCATCTTTCAGTTTCGGGATGCTGACGCTGCTGCTTCGCTGGCACCTGTTGATCTTGTGCAAATATCAAATAGTTCCACACCGAAGAACAATGCGATCCGATCCCTGACAAAGTACACACCCTGTTTTGATCGTAGGTACTGCGGTACACACTTTCGGGTCTCTGAAACTGATAAGCCCTAAATTTCTCGACTTATCAGGCGGGGGTGTTCTCGGTGTTCGGCATTCGGTTTATTTGGTCTCCGTACTATATCGTATATGCCTGAGTCTCCGGGAAGAGCTAAGATAAGATATAGAACCGAGAACTCTCCTCTCCGCCTTCCTGGGCATTTTTTTTTGTGGACTTCAGCTTCAGCTTGGGTTTCATCAGCTAACCGCAGCATGCCAAAGCCATGAGGCCAATTTTCCAAGAATAATTTGTGATTTCGTTTTCGTTTCGGTTTCCTAAATACTCGAGGGGATGTTGTCGTCGCCCCCCTTAAAAAACAAATAAGTAAATAGAGCGAATGCCTAAACAATAATAGCACTTCACATTTGGAATCATAGAAATTATTTCATTGTTTGCCCTGCGATAAGAAGAATTCCTCAGCCACAAATAAGTGGAAGCTCAACCGAAGCAAGGTTGTTATTTTTATTATTTTTCTCTTTTTCATCACATCTCTGACATGTGCTTAGTACAGTTACGAAAGTCAATAAGATTAGCATCTGTCACTTTATCATGATCAAAAACTTAGGATCAGGAAAGGTTCTGGAATTTTTAGATTGTTCATATGCAAAGTGAGTACACAGAAAAATAAATAGGCACAATATCAGTTTAATATTTTCTAAAGATTTGTTCATTTCATTTTGATGCTAAAAATACTAAAATGGTATTTTATATGATATGATAAAATATCAAGTTGATATGTTTTACATTATTTGACTCTATTTCATATCGAATTTTTTTCTCTGTACCATAATGGAAAATTAAATATTTAATGTTAAGTGTAATTGTGATTCATGTAAAAATCATTTAATCTAGCTTAAACACCAGAACTTAATTTTTTCGCATACCTAAGTGTGTGTGCGTCAACTTCCTGGCTGGCCATACAATTATGATACGCACTGCCCCCGGCCAGTAGAAACCTCTTGCTGTTCATCATCTCTACATCATGATTGTCGCCATCGCCATCGCCATCGTCGTCGTGCCCAGCTCATTATTTTTATGACTCTTTGTGAAGAGTCCGGGTCTCCAGTCGTCTTCAGTCTTCAGTCTTCTGGCATTGCAAAGTGATCTAAATCTATTGACTGAACTCCCAGAGAGGGACGATGCACACACCTGAGAACCCGAGAGCTACGAATGGATTGTTATAAGTTTTTATGATACCTACACTTTTTTTCCCTACTTTTCTGGTTAACTATTTATGTCGGGCGGCGCAAGAATAGCTAGTTTTTATTGCCATTCATGCATAATGCCAAAAAGATAAATAACAAATAAATTTCCAACGATCTCACTCGCTTTTTTTTCCACTTTACCACGTTGTGAGGTAATTATTAATAAATGCCTGCCCACCCTTTGTCCCTCTGGTAAAGAAGAAGCCTCCCCATTCGGGGCTCTCTAATAATATTCACGCTTGGCTTGGCATTGAAGAAAACTTAAGACTGCGACTAAGACAAGAGAGTCGGAAGAAGAGACGAGTCTTCTGGTGACTGGGCCGTGCCCTTAGCGTTCCAAACAACAACAACCGAACAACCAAACCACCCGACAACCAATTGTCTTTTGGCATATTTTCAAGTTGAACGCTCGCCGCGTTTTTTTCGTATGTATTTTTTTTTAACCATCTTTCCTCTCCCATTTCTAGAGATTTTCTAGTGCGATTAAGCGAAAAACGAAACAGTCTCATAAAAAGTATTCCTCTCTCTCTCTCCCTTTCCCGCTGGGCGATTGTGTGTGTGCTCCTCTGCTCATACATAAATATATTGTGGAAATGTCGGGGGAAAATGGTGGCTTAGGTGGCTTGGTCTTCGAATTGGAAAGCAAATTGCAGATATGTATTCTTGGCCAGTCAAAGTTCAATGGCAAAGGATTAAGGTTCAATGCGAGCATAAAAGATATTCTTTGGTTCTATAAATCGAAATGATTACTATATAAAACCAAATATTAACTGGTATTCCCTTAAAATAAATCCCTCAAAAATATCTAAAAAATATAATTATAAACTAAATCTTTATAAAAAGGGTATAGAGAATTTATATATTTAAAAATTGTAATAAAATGTTTAAAGCTATTGGAACCCAAATTTAACCTTATTAAAATTATTAAAAATTATTTACCTTAAAAATAAATGCTTAAAGCTACTGGAACTCCTCGTTAGAGATCAAAGAAATCTGTTTTAGGCCAAGACATTCGGCAAGCTGTCAACGTCTGCTGTCAGCTCGCCAATAACCCATTCATTCAGTCATTCAGTCGTTTATACATGCATTCATTCGAGCTGAGAACCCCCGATTGGGTTTTTTTCCTTCTTTCCCTGTTTTTTTTTTGGCATCACCCTCGCAATTCCGCAAAACTGCTTTGCATATTGACATCATCATTTTGCCGGAGAGACGACAAACTGTCAAACAAAACAATTGCTGTCAAATTTACTACAATGAGCGTACCAAAAAAAAGGAGGAAAAAATGGAGCTGTCAAAGTTTTTATGGCAGGCCAAGAAGCAATTTCAACATATCAATAAATTTTTGACAATTCCCGAAGACACAAAAAAGAGAAGAAAAATAGTATGTAACGTAACGAAACGAAACGAAACAAATGCCAGGGAACACCTTTTCAATAAATTTGCTACAACTGTCAGCGAAACAATGTCATTGTCACGACGCCCTCGCCGAGGTCCTTTGCCTCATCCTCACCCCTTTTATAAGGAGTATAAGGAAAATACTCGCAAAAGGATAGGAAGCAAGGAAGCGACCTATAAACCTGTCACACGACCCGCGGCCCATTCAATTGAAGGGCGAAGGGCGAAAGGCGAAAAAGACTGGCAACGACGACATTATTGTCGCTAAACAAACGATCAAATGGCAATTTAAAAGTTTTTATTTAACACTAAATCACCCACACCAACGAGCAATGAGCCGCCCAAACTTCCCAGCCACCTGACATTCGCTTTCTTTTTCAATTTCGAACCCTTTCGACGAGAAACCCAACAACCCCTTCGCGATTTTCAATAACTTTTGTATTCGGGGCGAACAAAAGGCGCCGAAACTTTAGCGACTTAAATTATGGCCTTGTTGTTGCTCCTCCTCAGTCTCCTTTTTATTTCCAAATATATATAGATATTTTTTTTCTCATCGACTGCTTGAGTTTTGACTCCCCATGGAATTTGGCGCGGTTTTCGCTGTCTTGTTGCATGCATGGAAAAAATAGCCAAAAAAAAAAGGAAAGGTTGGTTGGTTGGGTAAAAGCCATTGGATATTGTTAGTTAAAGACGTTTGACAAGGGGTTAAGCTGCGAGCTTAACTCTTTTGATTGCTGACCTTGTCGCGGAAGTTTGAAGCCATTTCGGGATGGATTTCATCGGCCGGAAAAGCCACCTGTGTGTTGTTGTTTCGCACAGATTATTTCCCACATCCTTAAGAGACTTTGGTAGAAATTATGTTAATAATATAAATTCCTATATCACTCTCCGTGGATTCGCGCATGATTTTTTGCGAAAAATGACCGAAAAATGAAATGTCCAGGTTTAAATGTCAATCGAGTGGAAATTTAATAACGAGTTTGGAAATGTATGACAATCCATATTTGGATCAATATTTCCGTTGTGTCGGCCGAAAAACAAATTATTTTTGTGTTGAAAATTGGAATCTGGGTTTTTGGTAAAAATATGGATTTTTCGTTTTTGTTTTTTTGCTGTAACTTGGCTAAAAATGGTCTTACACCAAAAATGCAAACTGTTTTGAACAGATAACAAAATAAGAAATAAATCCATGACACTTTCCGGGTGATATTGTAAAAATAAAATTTTCGCCAATTTTCAATTTTTTTATAAGGGGGTACCTCATGATTTTTTACGAAAAATGGCCAAAAAATAAAATGTCCAGGCTTTAATGTCAATCGATTGGAAATTTAGTAACGAGTTCGGAAAGGTATGACAATCCATATTTGGATCGATATTTCCGTTGTGTTGGCCAAAAAACTGTTTTTTTTTGTTCAATATTCCATTTTTAATAATTCTATACTATATCTTTAATATCTCTAAAATTGGAAGAAAAAATCGATAAACTCAGTATTTTTATAAACCATATTCAATATGGGAATAATGCCATGCAATCGGCATTCCAACTAGATAATTTATTTAGATCCAACAAACAAATAGAATCGACACTTGGTTAAGCCAGCATCGTTGGAAAAGTGAGGGCCAAAGAATGAGTGTATATAGATTTTCGAGTGTGTTATTATGGGGATCTTAAGTCCTATTTCCAGGGCTGAATGGCTGCGCTGTTTCGTTCCGATCGCTTGTTCATAAAGGCAATGGTGAGATGACGTTTGGCCGGCGTCAATCCAGGCTTCGATTGCTCCGGCTGGCCCATCAGAGCGATGCTGCCCAGGCTGCTGTCCACCGGAACGGAGCGGAATCTTCGACGAATCCGCGGACTGGAGTGGGCTCTATTATTATTATTCTTGTTAATAATATTCTTGGGTGGCGGGATCATGATCCGCTCGCTGGTGGCGATGGGCTGGCGGCAGCGTCTGTCGTTGGCCAAACGCTTCATCCGCGAGCTCACGCGCTCCACAGAACGATGATCCTGCTGCTGCTGCTGCTTCTGCTGGGTTTCCGGCTCCGACTTAATCCTCTGAGGTTGCCATCCGCCGCCGCCCCCGCGAGATCGACGAAATACCCCCGATCCATTGCTCAATGGCTCATCGATGGCCTCTTCGCGCAGCAAATCCCTCATCAGACGCTCCTGCATTCGGCGATGGTGCCTCTGGCGACTGGTGAAAATCGGAGCGCGTCGAGATTGTGGAATCTGAGTTAGAGTTTGGGTGGCCGTCAATCGTTGATTGAGCTTACGGCTCTTTTCCCTGAGCAATTGGTACGGCGGTATGCCGACACCGGCATTGGGAATCTGCGTAGCACCGGCGGCGCCTTGAAACTGATAGGGCGTGTACCACGGAAAGTTCACATTGCGCATTTGGCGCCCAACGTGGGACGTCCGTTTGCCCTTCAGCTTTGCTGAGCTTTTAATGGCCTCCGCCACCTTGCTGCTCCTCGCCGATGGCTCAGATTTCTCCTCCTTGCCGGACTTCTTCTCCCATTCCACATCGATTTTGTCCAGTCTCTGGGGTTTCATAGGTGCCTTCTTATTCCTCAGCTTGGCCACCTGAGATCCTCCGGAGAGTCGTCTTCTTCTCAAGCCTCTCACCAGCCAGGGCTTCTCGTAGCTCCGTCGCAGCAGGGGCAGCCTCTTCTTCAGTGGCCTTAGCTTCAATCTGGTCTTGGTCTTTTGAACTGAACTTGTTTTTGTCAAAGGTTTGGTAGCTGAGTTTCTGGTGTCGCCCGCCTTGATGCGTTGATGGGAGGCCTGACGAGTCCTGGCATTGTTTCTCCTCGGAGATCTTTGCGAGGGAAGTGGTGACCCCGGTCTGGTGACCGAAGGTGGTGACCCCGATGGTTTCTTAGGCTTCGGCTTCTGGCATTTCTTCTCCGGCAGATGATTCTTCTCTGGCAGGCAATTCTTCTCCGGTAGACTATTCTTCTCCCGCAGACTATTCTTCCCCTGCTGACTGATCTTCTTATCCAGGTTGCCAGGCTCTTGGCTCTTCTTCGCTTTCACTTTCTTCGGAGACTGCGCCCTTTCTGCTTTCTTCTCCGCTGCAACCCTGGACTGCGAAGAACGGAGACGCCTGCGCGAACGCTTGGTTAGCGTGGAAGGAACATGCAAGAGGATCTCCCGCTGTTCACCATCGTGCGGCAAATGCGTGTCGTCGATGATGACGCCGTTCAGACTGCGACGACCTGCATCCGCCAGCTGGAAAATGGTGGTGGAGCTCTTCCTGCGACGCCGATTCTTCGGCTTTGCTTCCGTCTTCTTGGCGGCCGAAGCTTTCTTCGCAACGCCACTTGCAGGCAATTGCGGCGGTGAGACCTTCATCTGTAGATTTACCTTTGAGCTGAGGGGATTCTTCGATCGATTTCGTATGGCCATAGCCGCACGCTTTTTCGCCGAACGCGGTTCGTGGAGCAGGAGATCGTCGAAGGCCTCCTTCGACTGGGCGATCAGCTGGTGGAAATTCAAGCGATCCGGCTTCGCAAAGTACATGTGACCCTTGTAGTCGGCCACCTCGCCCAGAGTGTGATGCTCGGCCACCACCTGGGCCACCACTCGCTTCATGCTGCTCCGGTTCAGCTTCAGATGATTGGCCACATTCCGGGCCAAGGCCTTCAGGGCGCCACCGGAACCACCCACCTGCGGTGAACTCCAGATACTCTGCTGCATAACTCTTCTAATGGAAATCTTCGGCAAATGGAAATCAACGGGAACAATTAATTTAAACCGGGAGCCAAAAAGTTCTTGTTCTATTCTATTGTGTGTGTGTCTTGTAATTTTGTTTTCCAATTTTTTCCGATTTTTTTTGTATTTTTCCTGTCTTTAGGCTTTGAAGTGTGCTGTAAAAATGAAAATCGTTGCGTTTACCGGAAGTTTATCAAGATATGCTAAAAGCATTTGGAAAGTCTATATTACAAAGTATTTCTAGTGTCTAAGCTGTTGTATAATTCCAAGCCTGCTGATTACCTGTTTTCGTTTTCCTTCACTCTTGGGGTAATGTGTTTATTAATATCTATCGAAATGTAGAAGAAAATTTTTAAATCGGACTATGGATTAAAAAAATATGAGCAAATAATGAAATGCAAGCAGTGCAAGCAGTTCATTTAATCCTTTTAGTTTAGTAAGGGGTATCTGGTATTTCATTTTTGATGATGATGATTAAAAATGTATGAGCAAATAATGGAAAGAAATACAAGCAGTGCAAGCAGTGCATTTCTCTTTTTAGCTGAGTAAGGGGTATCTGATATTCGAAGCCCCCTTCTTCTTCTAAATAATCATTAGTAGTGATCCTCCTGAGGGGGGCAGCTGATCACCGCCAAGCAGGTGACCCACCAGTAGCCACGTGCTAAGACCCAGAAAAAACTATCCCCTATCAATGGGCAATCAAGCGCGTCAGGAAGGAAAACACACACTGAAGTACCTGAAAAAAACCCCGAAGGAGAAAACCAACGACCGCAAGACATCGACCAAAGTCAAAGTCTTAGGAGGTAGGAAGAGAAAAATTATAAATGATTTCATTAAGAGGCATCGAGGGTCGTCGTCGTAGGTCAAGAATGGAATGGTTTTCGAATGGTAGGTTCATGCACCTGCAATTCGTATTGCACCTTGGGCAGGTGAGTCGTCCTCGTTTTCTCGTCTTCTCGTTTAGGGGTGGGAAAAATGATTTACGCAACAGTTCTGACGATGATGATGATGATCCGCTTCAGTAACGCCGTAAAGGGGAGTAGGTAACCCAAAACTCAAACTAAACCGAACCCTTTGCAAAGTTCGATACGGAAGCCCCCCTCTTTGGGTTCTCATTCCCTTTTCTCTTTTCCTCTTCTTTTTTTTTGCCTCGTTTTGGCCACTTAACCGTAATTAGGGCTTTTCAATATTATTAATGATGATGGTCGCTGGTCTGTGGGAAATGCATTGCGAATTGATGACGATGACGACGAACCGACGACGAACAGACGACGACGACCACCGCAGACATCAGACAATGAATGCAAAAATGCAAAATGCATAAAACAAAAATTGTAAACACGCAAACCCAAAGCGCAACAATTTTCGAACAGCAATTTTTCGTACCGCTTTTTGCCCCGCTCTATTTGACTTTTGTTGTCTGTTTGTTTTTGTATTTTTGTTTGGTGGTTGCAAGTTGCAAGTTTCCCAGTTTGCTGGCTAGCTGGCCCATCCATCCATACGTTTTTAGCGTTATCAGTGCAAAATAATCTTTCAATCAGCCCTATAACATCGTATGTGCCTACATATAGGGGGTTCCCTTTTCTCTGTTCTATCCTGTTTTCTCTCTCTCCATCCATCCATCCATCGTTCATTCTTTCATTCAGTCATTCTGGTCGTATGCAAACGGCCAGCGAAGCGTGACGCCAATTGTTGCAGTTTGCAGTTGCATTTCCAGGGGCGTCGGTGGGAAGGGGGCTTTCGGCACTTGAAGGGCTTGCAATTACCGAGAGCCAAGGAACCTATCGAAACGGGAGGGCTTACACTTGTTGATCGACGGATGTTGAAGTTCGGGGCTCTTGGGAAGGAAAGTAGCCTTTTTGGAGCCTATTTATACGGGTAAATATGGTTATCGGGGTCACCAAACTGCATTATTACTTTGCTTAAAAAATTTCGACTATGGCATTGTCATATATTAGCACCTAGTAGTCACCCAGTAATAATACTTGGAATTGTGTATATTTTTATTTTTAATCCATCGATATTTTTGGAAATTTTGGGGTCACCTTTCTGGAAATCAATAAAAAATACAAAATATCTGTTATAAAAATACACTTTTTACTGTAAATTGCTAAAAAAAAGAAACTAACCACAAATTGTTTAACTATTCAATCGTGTGACTAATTATGTTATGGATTTTTGAATTTCAGATTGGGTCACCTCTTTTTTCTTACCAACAATTTGTGGCCACAGCTTGGTATATTTATTTCCTTATACAATAACCTCCTCCCCCTCTGTGCTTTTAGCCCATTTTCACCTTGTTTACTCTGGCGTTTGCGGACCAAAAAAATTAAAAGAAAAAAAATAAAAAAAACGTCGGGGAAAAAGAAGAGGAAGCGACTTGCGACCGGGAATCATTTAAGCATTGCGGTGTGAAATTTCACACCGATTGCAATAAACATTCAACATTTCAGGCGGCCCAGGCCAGGGCAACAATAAAACGAATAAAACTCGAAGTCGAGCGGAGAGAAAGGCCAGAAAAGCGGCGACCCTTGCATTGGAACAAAATCAATCAAACAGACGGGCTGCGCATGCGCGCACGCCGGATGTGGATGTGTTGGTAGCCCAAGCTACCGAGGGGGGTGGGGGGGCTTAAGGGTTAAGATGGGGATACAGGGGTACCGGGGTATATGGGAAACTGTGTACTGCTGGCGTTAATGGTGTCACTAAGTACGCCACAACTGACGGCCTTTGAAGCCGCGCTCTCTGATCATCGAATGGAACCAATAAAAGTCGCCTTCCCATTGTCTTTATTTGCGCGGGTCTCTGCGCAGGCTGCACTCGAGTGCACTGAAAGAAAATTTTAGGCAGTAAAATGTTAAAATAAATCCAATGAATAAATCCTGAATAATCACTTGGGAATTATAAGACCAACAGCTAGTAGGAAAAATTATTAAAAAAGTGGATAAAGGATAAATAAAATATTATATTAAAACTATTATATTTCAGAATATAAGAACTTAATGATATTTCTACAAAAAAATTTATAAAGAATTTATAATTAGACTTTTTTTTTGAGTGCACCCATACGCAAGCTCACACTTGTATTTCCATTTCCCATTTCATTCAATTTGCATTTGTGGCCAGCTCATGGTTGAATGGTCTTGCGGGTGCTACTGGTTGGGGGTGGAATGAGAGGGAGATGTTTTATGGAGGGGTACTTTTTTGGAGGGGGTGTACAAAATACGAAAAAAAAGAGTCAACCGGAGAGCCGAAACAATTCAATTGTCTGGCTGGTTGGGCATTCGGTGTTGGCTTTCTTGTTCCATCCGCAGTTCGTCAGTCGCGGTACATTGCATATCACACATCGCACATTAGCGCTGCCAATGACAATGAATGACGATTGCAGTTTCGATGACGATGACGAACTTTGCTTAACTGAATGGTTGAGCGACTTCTCTGTACTCGTTCTGCCCCGAATAATGAATAGATCTGCATTCAAATTCAGTTCAGACCATTCGAAAGTTATTTAAAAAAATATAAAATATATTTAAAGTTTAGAGAGTTCAATATGATATAAGTTTCAAGAATAGATCTGCATTCCAGTTCAGTTAAGATCACTTGAAACTTATAAAAAATTAAAATAATATAGAGTTTATTATGATATGATTTTTAGTACTACATTTATAACCATATCCTGTACTACGAATCTCATATATCATCCATTAATCAACATTTCCGACTAACCCTGAACGCACTCAAAACTCGGAATTCGAAAACTCCCACTACCCAAAGCGACCCTCTCTATAAAGTTTCCTGAGTGCCCTGCTAATATGCGGGCGCGATCGGAACCGCAAACGAAGCGATTCCAACCGAAGACCCAATGTTAATTGCACTCGGGATGATGGGAAGAGAGACCAAGCCGACCGACCGACCATACATATAAATATTTTTTCCAATGAAACATTTTTATGTTAATTCGAAAAATTGTTTTACAACCAATTAACTTAGCCAATGCACCAAAAAGATCAACGGACAAGATCGCACTGTGCACCCGGTTGAGGGAAGTGCACATACACATATATATGTATATGCATCTATCTATAAGAAAAGGGATCCCAGATCCCAGAGGGTGAAGGGACTTGACTGTCGATCGCATGCCGCTCGGAATTCCATTATGCGACTTGCCAGTTGATGGCCCGTACCAAAGTCTTTGCCTTCTTGGCCAGCGGGCAGGCAGGTGCACTGAATATATATGGTAAGGAAAACTGCAGAACCCTGATGAAAACTAGATGGTGGTATCTAGTATGTTTTTTTTTTCTTGGTGGTGGTTTTCCTTCCTTTCCTTCCTTTTTAGCGGGATGGATGTCCTGTTGCTGCGGGTCAGTGCCGATCTCTAAATCAATCAAGCGCGGCCTAAAAATAAAAACAACCCAAAAACGAAGGAAACTAGGGAGTGATGCGATTGTGAAGTACCCTGGGAAAATTTGTAATGAAATTATTAGTTATAATATACCCTAGAATATAATTTATTTATATTTTATTTTATATATTTATTTTATACGAAATAAAAATTTTTATTTTTTTATTTCATATCATAACATATCAAATTATTTATTAACATATTTTATACCATTTCCAATTACTTTTTATTCGTCAAATACCTTTATTTAAAAGACATATTTTAGTATAAATGGTTTAAGGAATATTTATTTTTATTTATTTTTTTTTTTTTTAATTTTAATTTTTATAATTTTTATATTTGATATATAATATTATGATAATTTTAGATAAATACCTTATTATTTTACTGTTTTAATGAAATAAAATGTATATTTAAATTTTAGAATATAGGACACATTTAAGGCGAGTTAAAAAACAATATGCCCTTCAATAAATAGTGAATAGGGAATTAAAAACACGAGAGACAGTAAAACCATTTCAATTAAAATGCCACTTGGGGTCGTGTGCTGACTCTTCCTCTTCGTCTCCTCCAACTCAGGTGAGCTACAGGTGCGAACGGACACCGGGTAACCTGACCTGCGGTTGTGTCATGTAATTAGGAACTTCCCCGAGGGGTTGGGCATTCACATTGCCTATCGATCGATCGATCGATCGATCGATGCCATTCAAATGTGGATCGGGATCGTAGCAATAAAGTCATTCGGCAGCTGCTTCTGTATTTCATATTTTGGGTTGGGTTTTCATCTACCATTTTTGGCCCAGTCATGAC